CGCGCTGGGGGCGCGGCGCCGCCATGCGCGGCCGGGCTCCCTAGAAGTTCCCAGCACCGTGGTTTACACCCCCCCCCCCAGGAAAACCCGGGTTGGTGGCGGGGCTGGGGCAGACAGAGGCCCCGGGGCTTTTCCAGTGATGATAGCGACTAACAAAAACGTGACGACCCGAGCGACGATTCAAACCTCCGCGCGGCGATCTGAGCGCGCCCTCGTGGCGACTTGTCGCGGTCGGGACCTGGAGGGAGGGGGATCACGGGGCTCCTCTGTGACTTCTAAAAAACAGGGTGAGATGGGGGGGCAACGCTTCTGGGGAGCTCCGGAATACCCCTCCTTGCAAGCCCGGAGCTTCTGATCGCCCTCCCTGGTGGCCCCACGCTCAGCAGCACAAGGCTGTGGCTCTGCTGTGGGTCGGCCAGACCTCACCTCGTTCGCATCAGTCATCGCCATCAGTCGCTCGCTGTCGTTCGTGTCAGTCCGTCTCCAGCTCGGCGCGGCCAGGGAGGGTCACTCACCGACGATCAGATCACCCCCTACACAACTACTCATATTCAGCAAGGTAGGTCCGGAAGTCGGTGGGGTGGGCGTGGATCGGTTACTGGGTTGACTCCGCAGAGATGTGCACAATGCATGTCTGCCCTGCATTTCTTAAAAAAATTAACGTTCTGGAAGGTGCTTTTGTAATATATCACTAAGTGTTGTGTATCAGGAATGGCTAAGACACTGATTTCGAGAATGAAGCCAATTAAAAGTGGGGAAAACAGCCGATTCACAGTGTTCATAACCCTCGTAGGTTGTTTATTTTCATTTTACTCGGATGATTTTCAAAGTCAAACACTAACCTCTCTACCAGACAAATTAAAAAGACTGATAAATCGCTGTCACGCCTAGTAGTTGACGAGAAATATGTTTAAATTGACTTGAAAGCCGTGTCTCTGAAACGCAAAACCGGGACTCGTCCTCTCGGTGACCAATGAAAGTGCGACTAGAAAGTCGTGGTGCGACGTTTTCACATTTGTCAGCATCGTAAAATCAAAGTAGAGAGTACAACGAATTTAATGGTGGATTTTGTCTCGTAAGGAGAGTGGTCTCACGATCAGTCTCCATCAGCCGGCTTGCAGCCGACAACATAACCTAGCTCCTAGACTCCCGTCTCCACACAGGTGCCGCCCGGGTTGGCCTACCCGTCGTGTCACAGGCGTGTGGAGTGGAAGGAGTAAGATCGCAAAGTAGATCAAGTTTTGTTTTTCATTGAGAGATCGACCAGGCACTCAAGTTTGTTAACCCCGTGGCCTAGACCACCTTACCCAGTCCCAAGCACTCGGTTAGAATGCACCCCGGCAGCCCAGGCCGACCTTAAACGGGTTTCAGGCACTCGGCCAAGGCACTCAGATAGGGTCGCCTAACCACCTCAAGGTCCCCCCCCCCCAGGCGGCTCGAACGTACTTTTTGGACAGGGCCAACCGAGTGCCTGTCCGCCGGTTTCTTTCTTGATGTCGGATCTCTAGCTCAGCTTCCAGCTCTAGCTTTAGCTAGTCCCCGCTCCCCGCTCCACCCGTCGGTATCCCTTTGCGCCTGCGATGTGATGGGTAGGCCAACCCGCGCGGCACCCGCGTGTAGTCGGTGGCCCACCTCACTGTTTAGAGAAGGACTGCCAGCGGCGGTGGGCCACGGAAATTTTCCGAAAGTTTTTAGGACTCTCCGGCGCTTCCCACGCTAGCTACCCCGGCGCGTTCACGAGTAACGCCGCGCCGACTGTCTCTCTCGTGCTGACCCCAGGTTGTGTCTTCTCGCAGGACATGGAGCTGACGGCGCTGCCTGACGACGCCCTGGTGGCGGTGATGCAGCTCCTGGACGTGCGGGACCTGCTGTCCTGCCGGCTCGCTTGCAGGCGGCTCGGGGAGCTGGCCCTGCACCCGGACGCGTGGCGCCGTCGTGCGCTCGACTTGTTCCCGGACAGCGTAAGGTGCATCTGTCCGATGCTGCGTCTGGCGCCGTGTGCGCTCTCGATGCACGTCGAGTTCCCGGGATCACTTTGGCGTCACGGGGACACTTCATCAGCTGAGGCGATCACCACTTCAAAGTGTGCTGTAAACATTTTGAGAGTGCTCGTCGATGAGCATTGTGGCGTCCTGGACGCCAAGGCGCTGATCCTCCAACAGCATTCGCTCGGCCGACTGAAGGAGCTCCGACTTTATTTACTCTGCAACAGACAGCAAGACGAGTCTCTGTTACTACGCACGGTGGCGTCCATGCCCAGCCTGGAGAGGCTGTGGATCGTCACGTCAGGCAAGGACAGGAAGCCCACCCCCATCCCAACCAGGCTGCGGATAACTCCGTCCCTAAAGTCTTTCGCTTGCGACTCAGGAAAGAATTGGCCCTTCATCCACAGGATGCTGTCTCGACACGCCGCCACCTTAGAGACTGTGCTCGTCTCCGGTCTCAGAACCCCACTCTCGATTGTACCTCTGGTCACTGGCATGCCGAACCTGACCAGTCTGAAGTGCGATTGTTCCCCTGGAATTAAGGGCATTCTAGGTGCTGCATCTCTCAGGGAGCTGCACCTCGTGATCACGTCTTTCGGGGGGCGGGGGGCTGAGGCCGCCGATGTGACCGCTGCCGCTGACGGGGTCCTGGAGGCTGCAGAGCTCCTCCGGCGCGCCGAGCACCTGCGCGCAGTCACCCTCGAGTACACCCCTGCATTATTTTGCACGGAAGTCTTTGGCGCTGACCTCGTCCTGGCCTTGGCGTCGTCGGGGAGGTCCCGCCTGGAGACGCTGTGCATTGAGGATTATGGAGGTGTCAGGCCTAGCGGGTTTCCCCAGCTGCAGCCGCTGGTCAGCGCGCTGCCCGGGCTGCCGTCGCTGCTGCACCTGAAGGTGGCCGCGGACGCCGACATCGCGAGCGAGCTCCTCTCCGCCATCAGCCCCGCCTCAGCCCCGGCGCTGCAGAGCGTCGAGCTGCCGCTGCGAGGAAGGCGTGCGCACACGTGGCTCCACGGCGACGCGGTCAAGGCTGCCTTCTCGGCCAACCCCTCGCTCCACATCAAGATGAGGTTTCCATTGTGTGGTGACGATGACTGCGAGACGTGCGAACTGGCCCGTCACCACGAGCCGCTCAGTCGTAGGTCTCATAACCAGAAATCTAACCTTGGTCTTTTCTCTCATGACCCTAAGGAGAAATGTTTGCAGGGTCACTCCTCTGACCGCCCGTGGGTCCGCGTTCCCGTTACCTAGTGCGCCTTTGTAACCACAGTCCATTGCCCATACAAGTAAATGGTAAATGTAACGATTGTGACACCTTAATATTTTTCTGTACTTCACAACTACTGAAATTATAATCAACTATTAATAGTTGTAAAATTGTATTCTTTTTTTCTTGATCCGCCATAAATGCGAACACCACATGCTCATATTTTTCTAGCCAATCGCATCCTGGACGGATCACCTTTACCAACTCAAAACTTTCCTTAGCTGAGCTGCGAGCTGCGACACATTTTTCGGGTACCTGCTCGCCTCTGGTCTGGTCGCCGCCTGGGTATTTCCTGCAAGCGGGTGCCGGCCCGCGGCTGGACCTCGGCGCCGGCCGCCTGCCGCCTCCTGGGCCTGGTCGTTGTACCCCCCCCCCCCCCCCTCTCTCTCTCTGGAGGCCGGAGGCACCTCCGTGCGAGCGCGATGCCTCTGACGTCCCGGCAAGTCGAGGGGTGGACCGCTTGGATATTCCATGTGCACACTGAAAAGTATTTCCAAAGTCCAGATTTTCCAGCATGTTCGAAAACTATTCCAGATATTTGCGGCGGTCGCTCCCGTATGGTACTGTTCTCCGCCTCAACCCAAGGGACCAGGGCGCCGAGGGCGGGCGGGGGAGCCCCCAGGGCCAACCAAGCCGAAGAGAGGTCGCGGGATACGTCCTTCGAATGTCAAAGTCACTATCTAGAAATACTTAATTCTGACTCAAAAGCTCTCGATAAATGACATCACGCACCCAGTCGTTTCTCGTGAGCCGCCTGGCGGCTATAGGCAATGTGCTCTACAAACCCCTCACCGTCCCCTCCCAGCCGACTATAGTATTCAGTTCAGTTCAGTTTATTTAAAAAAGTAAATACGTATGCAATTTTATGGTCAGGCAAAGGCAGTATAGTGCGCCGACGCCATGTCTAAAAAGCGCATCAGGGCTGAGGAGAGGGTTGAACCAGGTGAACACGCCCTCCAATGTACGTTGTTGCCCCCCCCCCCCCCTCTCTCGCTGCTAGTTTTGCTGCCCTGTGGCCCTCTCAGTTTCGTTGCGAGTCGCGGTTGTTTCCGCTTTAACCTTCAAGGTACACTCCCGCCGCCGCACCATGTAGGTTGCCTTACGCTACGTTAGGTGCTTCAGCCGTCGTCCGATGATGAGTCAGTTAGCCCCCTCCATCGGCTAAAGTTTTTCCATTTCTTTTTGTCCTGGCCACCACCGTTACCACCAAGTGTCGCGGATAGCGCGTTCAAATTGCACAGTCGGGTGTGTTTCTATGCCTGTGCTTCGAGTGTCGCGGTATTGCGTACTCGTCAACACTGGTGAGGCGCACCAACACCGAACTCGAGTGACGACATTTCTGAGGGGGGAGGGGGGGGGTAGTGACAGCATTTTCCAAGATGGCAACGGTGCAAGCGGGCCACCGTGAGGCGTGGGGTGGGATGGGGCAGACGACGGAATAACCAGAGGCGCGAGAGAGGTTCGTGGAGTTTCCAGGCCGGGAGTCGCCAACTTGAGTGGGGCGGGCGAGCGGAAAGAAGAAGTGCCAACCTCAAAACCAAAACCGCTCTTACTTTGCGCACCGTATTAGACCAGTACGTGATTAATTTTACCAAGCAACTAATATTTTCTGCATCTGCAAGCGTTGCCCTACAGCGTGAAATAAAAATATTTTGTACAGTTGCAAAAAACGTTTTTTCTGAATTGTCGCGGGACGTTGGTAGAAGAGGCACCTGACTGGAGAGGAGAGGGGAGGGGAGTCGAAGTCGAGTCGAGGCGGAGGCGAGACTCGTCGAGACTGTCAGTGTTGTGTCGTCTGCTGTGTGAGATTGTTGTTGTTGCTGCGGCTGCTGCTGCCCTGCTCGCTGAGCTTTTTTCTGAAGAACTGTTGAAGATTTGGTGGAGACTTCCCATTTTCTTTGTTAACCTGGTATGTACAACTACAACTATGGTTCGATGCAAGACTTCAGCGGTTGTGTCTTGCATTTTCGCGAAGATTCGCGTATCTGGGGGCGAAATATGCCGAGTTTGCTATTGCAAAATACCTGGATTGCTTAGTTAAAAACGGCTCGGATACTTTTATTTTTCTATTTTTGAGAGGAGTAGTATAGCCTTATTGAACAAGAGAGATACTTAATTAAATCTTATTTGTCCCGCTAACCCACATGTAACCTTTTTTCTTACCATAGGGGGCTTGCCATCCTTTTTTACATCCTTTAACCAGTCTCGTCTGCCTCTACTGTACATAAACATGTGTACCTGATTATTGTGACGTACCCTATTTTCCCCGTAGTACTTCTGAACGCGTTTCTTACCTCTCCATTTCTGGCACCAGAAAGCAGTTTCTTCTTTCCCATCATGGACATCACTACCACCAAAGAACTCATAACAACACTCCACAAACTAAAGTTACGTCAAAATAGTTTCTCCTTTCTCTCCCCTTTCCTCTTATTAAATGCACTCGTGCCCTTTTCTATCACAATAGTGCACTAATTTTGTTTTATTTTTTTCTTTTGTTGCAGTTACCATGGCCCCTGTTGTCGAAGTTTGGGGTGATCTCTTTGCCATGCCCACGGCTTCAGCTCATGCTGTGAGTGTCGATCTTCTAATGGGACCAGGGGTTGCAGTCGGCTTCAAGGAAGATAATAAGCCTCTGCAGGGCAAGAGAGTCGGCGAGGTGGCCTACCTCAAGCACAACACCAGCTACATCTTCTACCTCATCACCAAGGAGCGCTACTCAGACAAGAGGATCTCTCTGGACACCGTCCTCAGCTGCCTTGTCAATCTCAAGATGCTGTGCATTTCTCTTGGTGTACGAGAAGTTTCAATGCCCCGGGTGTGCTGTGGGACTGACCTGCTGAAGTATGAAGATGTACTGCCGCTGATCCGTACTGCTTTCTGCGACTGCATTGTAAAAGTCAACATTGTGACTCCACCTCCAACTTTCAATGGAATGTCAGTGCTTGGCGACAGTCAGGGACTTCGCCTGCTTCTCAACCGAGGAAAACTTCCTGCTGGCTTCAAGACAAAACCATTTCCCCGGTCTGCTGGTTTCTCTGTGTCTGGACTCACAGTAAATGGCCTACTGAAAGCTTTGGATAAGGTTCCGAACAACTCTCTTGGTGATGCCCTCGTCTTCATTGGCACCAACGATCTTCTTACTCTGGCAGCGAGGGAGTCTGGACATGTAAGTTAAAACACTAAAAGTTATTTCTGTTCCCAAAAATTCAGAC